CCCCAAAATAAATGAATTCTCCATTTATCGAGTGCCTAAACCTTGAGTATGAAAATAAAAATCCATCCCATATGATTTCCCATGATTTCAGGATCGATTTGATATAATTTAATTTCATAATTACACAGTCATCAATAAACCACCCCAAAATAAATGAATTCTCCATTTATCGAGTGCCTAAACCTTGAGTATAAAAATAAAAATCCATCTCATATGATTTCCCATGATTTCAGGATCAATTTGATATAATTTAATTTCATAATTACACAGTCATCAATAAACAACTCCAAAATAAATGAATTCTCCATTTATCGAGTGCCTAAACCTTGAGTATGAAAATGCAAATCCATTTCATATGATTTCCCATGATTTCAGGATCGATTTGATATAATTTAATTTCATAATTACACAGTCATCAATAAACAACTCCAAAATAAATGAATTCTCCATTTATCGAGTGCTTAAACCTTGAGTATGAAAATGCAAATCCATTCCATATGATTTCCCATGATTTCAGGATCCATTTTAATATAATTTAATTTCATAATTACACAGTCATCAATAAACAACCCCAAAGTAAATGAATTCTCCATTTATCGAGTGCCTAAACCTTGAGTATGAAAATGCAAATCCATTTCATGATTTCAGGATCGATTTGATATAATTTAATTTCATAATTACACAATCATCAATAAACAACCCCAAAATAAATGAATTCTCCATTTACCGAGTGCCTAAACCTTGAGTATGAAAATGCAAATCCATCCCATTAGGTGATACCATCCTGGCCACATATCCATTCTGGATATATATAAGATGAGACAGGAGAATGCGCGGAGAGGAGTAACGAGTACAACCAAGAGGAAGTCAGTGAGGGTGAAATGAGAGAGTGAGATAAAATGACGAGTGCGAGGGGCGCAGGCTCCGATACAGCCAATCGTCGGACCGCCACTGATAACGACTCTGCCAAATGTGCGTCCGTCGTGTTGGGGCCGGTCCACGCGCTAACATCATCATCTCACCCTGGCCATTTTACCACCGAGGCCTCTCGCCATTACACCTCACATCCAACAACTTACCTTTAACCACCCACGGAAATCACCACCCTATCACCACCACCACCCTCCAATCATCGCGATTCTTCCACATGTCAATACAAAATCCCAGTGATCTCAATCGCGACAAACTTACGAACTCAGTGAAGTGCAAATATTTTAAATAAACATTCAACACCTGAACACCACTTGCTAATTAAAATAACATTTTTTTAGTGCTCGTTATAAATTGATTGTTGAAATGTTTTAAGGGTGGATTATTTTGTGCTTCAAGGCAGTCTGGATCCTATAAAGTGAGAGGGTAAGTGCTGGAATGTCGGATGCAGGTTTGGGGAGCAATAAATAAATTCCGTTATTTAATTGGAGCTATTAAGTTATTTATTCTGAGGTATAACGAGTTCGGTAGCTAATGAGTGACACGAAAATCGGCGAGAAAAAGGAACAAAGGAGAACTGTCATTCCTTTCCATTTCTTCCATCTACTTGGTCATTTGTTTATGTCACACTAAATAAACAATCAAGTTCGGATTCAATCAAGGTCGCCAAGACCCCCCAAGCATCCCCTCATATACTAATTACATCCCTCTTAATAAACAATATTGAGTATCAAATTTAACAGATTATTCTTGCAAATTTCAACTGTAAGTCGAGGATTATCAAGGATTTGTATATTATTTCGTGGGTGAAGGCAGATGGAGAGAATGTAAAAATGGGATTGAGAGGGAATGGAAATGGGAATGGGAATGGGAATGGAAATGGGTAAGATGGTGGAAATAAATTAACGATCGGATCGAGAGAGCTTGAAGAAGGAAAAAAGGGGAATTGATGCTAGCGTCAGTGAAATCGCTGTGACATCCGGTGTTTCGCGTCCATAGGGTATTGACAACAATAAAAAAAAGAGCATTGATATTCGGTTGGTCCCCAGCTTTTGTAGTTTATGGTGCGAGTAAGGGTCAAAGTCGACGGTCAGCCGGACGAAGGGATGCCTGGATATCGTTTCTCATGCATAAAACGATAACGATCCATCTCCCTGGGTCAAGTACCGTTGCAGAAGTGCGTTATCCATTTGGTAGGTGAAATAATTAAAAGACTCGCGACGGCATTTTCACCTGGTGAATGGGTTAAAAATAGTGTACCACTGGGTGCGAATAATTGAGAGAAAAATCCACCAATTAACATTTCAATGGGAAGAGGGAGGAGGTGGAATAAAACTTTTGGCTTTTCATGCCACTCACAATAATAATGCGTATGTGTTGGTTTGTCGTGTCGACAAACTCATCGGTGCTCTGTTTACATACGGGGTGACCGAAAATTAAGTCATACTCATCGGGATAATTCGGGGAATCCCGGAAAAAATATCCCAGGGAAAAAATATCCCACACATTCAAAACGTGTTAAAACTCGCTCAATTTAATTATTTTTTAATTTAATTAGTTTTTTCGTTGTCTATTTTTTCAGGGGCTCTAATTTTCCTATGGTCTATCAAATTGGGTGTGCGGGCTATTTTTTCCGGTGATATTATAGGCGCTGGGGTTTTTACCGAAAATTCTTCTTGATTTTTACAGAATAGATAAACTGCACTCGATTGATTATGGCTGTATAAAATCAAAAACATTTCAAAAAACCATCTTCTGGGAACTGTAGTGATAACTCTGATAACAGTTTTATATTCAGGGCATTATTCGAGAGTCAAGGATGAGGAATGAACACTAGCCCTCAAACACCATTCGGTAGAAAATCTAGATCTTATTTGTCAGTTGAGATGATGAAATGGAACTGACAAAAATAAATTCGGGAATGTATTCCCATTATCCCCTGGAAATTTCAGGGCAATTAAAGGATGTATTTAAAGGTTTTAATCAGGAGAAGTATTTCGAAAAAGATAATTAAATGAGACAGTATCTGATATAGGAATCGGAATAGAAATTGAGTGATGAAGAAAAGAGAATTATTCTCGGAATATTCTACGGAAATTGACGGAAGTTATTGATTAGTTACGCGCACTCACATTCTCAATCAAATTAATACCATAAAATAATCTTTCCGTTAATTAGGTCAATAATTACAATAATGAAAAATAATTAACATTATATATGAATTTTTAAAAATTGAAAATGGTGAGAAAGCTTCCCGTTTAAAAAATTATTAATAAATTGTTTAAATACGATCAATTATTATATTACTAATCATAAATAAATTGTGAGCAGATATATATTGCCTATCATTACATACATATTCGGCATATATGTGATTAACACGAGATATTTTTAAATAAAAAATATAATTTAAAAAAAAATGGGATCCGATAACTTGAGTCGCGTCTTTCTCATCTTCTAAAAAAACTCTCGGCCAAAATGCCGGAGGGATAAATGTTATCAGAGTTATCATTTCCGATCTGAGACCGGGGCTTTCATGGAACCAGATGATATACGCGAAGTGACAATCGCGAGTCTCATTAACCGAGTAGAAACCGCTGGACTGGGACTGGTCGAGTGATCAAAGAGAGGCGGATATTACAAAAGATCAGGATTCAGGTGACTCGGAGGTATGACCGATCTAATTGTGATTCAATCCGAGGATTATTTATTATGAGATATAATGATAATGATTTCACTGTCATTTCCAGTAATTTCTTGAAATATTCGATTTTAAAAATGAAATAATTTCAATTGAATGCAATAATTTTCATCCGATCTCAGTTTTTTATTTGGGAAATTCTTTTTGATTTCGCAAGGTTCAATCAATCGAATTATCGACATCACTGGATTGATCAGGACAGTATAAAATCAAAAAGATATTTTCAGAAAAAAACGTCACTTGAGAATTCTGAGCGATTTCACGATTTCAAATGATTTCCCGCGAAATGATATATCCGAGGATATTTCAAAATAATACGCTGATATATCCGCAGATATATCAAAATAATATCCGGATATATCCGCAGATATATCCCATGCTGATTCCGTAATCGGCAAGCAAACTGAATGCTCCGTAATTTTTTCGATATATTTCTACCTGTGTGCGGATTCTGCCGATACCAGGTAATTTCAGGAGTACACTGAGAAAAAAAATTATTTTTCCCAAGAATATTTTCTTTCCACCAGTAAATCTGGCGGTCACTGTGTAAATATTCCCATAAGATTTATTTAATAATTAATAATTAATAATTAAAGATTAATGCCAAATATATTTTCTTGTGGTTAATAAATATTGTTGGCTAAAGAAATATTTTTTCTCCATGTACCTAGGAGAAATTCCTCGTGATATAAATTCCGAGGGAATGATTTGACCACTGACTAGGCCCTTGATGTAATGGTTCAGGAATGGGTCCCCGAACAACCCTCTGGACCTGCGATTTTGTGACACCCTGTATATGGGTGCGTGGATACCTCGTGTAACCTCGTATACTATATACACACACACGTGACACTCCTCCACGAGCATGAGCTTAGACGAGGTAGAGTAGTAGAGGGGTTTCCGGCGAGCGTTACTGTTAACAGAGTAACAGAGTGATGTAATGAGGCCCGGAAGCAGACAATTTGCTGGCCGCGGCGGTCGCTGTTGCGCGAGACAACCTGACTCTACCTTCTTCACAGTGGTTCAGTCAACAGTGCGGTATGCATTTGTGGTTTCAGATGGATCGAAAACTGTGATAGAATCTGTGAAATCCTAATCATCCGATAATTAACCCTATCGAGAGCTGGATATCGCGGATTTTCGCGGGAGTGAGTCTAAGGCACTGCATCATTCGCGATATGATCGTTAATTGGTGCATGTTCAATTGGCGTATTGTTAAATTTTGTGGTGGTCGTTTGGTGGATTATCGTGATGTGCATCAAGTGATGGGTTCATTTTGTTGAGGAAAATCGACGGTTTAGGCTGCGTGGGATCATGCTGATTCTTTTAACTGCCGACGGTGTGTGGAATAAATTTCCTCTCGAGGAGATTTTTGAAGGATTTTTTTTTTGGGTTTCGGTGGAGTTTAGGGTGAATCCTAGGGGATGGAGGAGAATTTAATGGGAGAGGGTGTTGATTGATTGGTTGATTAGGGTTGAAGGGAAATAGTGACATTTCTGGTTTCAATGGGAATTATTCATTTTGTGGGAATTTTTAATTATTGATGAAGAATTAATCCGAGGCTGCCCTTCATTTTGGAAAAAGTCAAAATTGAAAAATATGTAAAGCGGAGTTCTTCGGGTCTCTTCTGTCTTCAGAGAATGAGGGAAATTTCACGGGATTTTTTGAAGTTTCAGTGGAAATTTAGTGTAGAGAGAGATTTTCTAGAAAAATTCTAGTACTGTAGAAAAAACGAATTGAGGAAAGGCTTTCGGGGGTAATTTCTGCCAAGAATATAATATCGTTCATATTTTTCGGGTATTCTTTCCATAAAAACAATATAAAATACAATTTCAAGCACGAGAATTACTGAATTATGAAATTATTATTCAATTAATCATCTCGGCTGAACGTCAATAACGATTATTAATATTTGGAATTACTCCAAATTATCTAGCCTTTGATTTGCGACTAAAATTCCAAACCTGGAGAATATGGAAAATAATGGAGGGCATTATAATGTAATAAACAAATTTATTGAAACCTGAGTCAAGAAAACAGAAATGCCAACCCTTGAGAAATCCATTTATTGAAATATTTATTAAAATATATTGTCCCCCAGTGTTGAAACAATTTTTTAATTCAATACCAAACTCAAGGGATTATTGATAAAATATCATAATATAATGATCGCTGATTCCACGTAACGTAAAATTAATTACAAGACATTGAAATATTTTATTTCAAAAGCTTCAAGTGATCCAAAAAGTTTCATCTCATGATTGAATGATTTCAAGCGATTTCCGATGATTGGAGATGATTTGGATTCAGAGTGATCGTGCTCTTCAATTACTAGTCCGGTAAATTCTGATGTATTGATGAGGTATTTTGGTACTTACAGGGGCACTTTGGTGATGTACGACAGCACTAGCTGTTCGTACTCGGGGGCGCTGGACTTGAAGGGTGCAACAGGAACGACTGGAGCAGCAACGGCCTCCGGTGTTTCCATATCTGCAGCTGGTGTTAAACAAGAAAACTGGCCGTACCGAGGTCTTGCGTGTGGTAGCACATTTCAGCAGCTTAAACAGAGCGTTGAAAAAGCTAAACAGGCGCTTGCAGACAGGGGTAACTATCTGGCCGGTGCTTTTTCACCGCCTCCACGTGCCAATCCATCCACCATTTCACCGAGTTCTACAGCTTCCATAACTGGTGAGTGACCGCAATCTAAATCACCACTTGATCATTTCATTTTATTTTATCATTTCAACTTCTGTCTACTGAAAAATCTAAAGGGAAATGGTAAATGATTTTTAATTGTTATTTCGATTAGCCAGTGCTGTTCTATTTTCTTTGGGTTATAGTAGTTGAAGTGTAAAAAACATGAACGGTAAGTGAAGATGTGACAAGTACTGTGAAGTTTAGGTATACTTTAAGTACAAGTAGTACTGATTACTCAAATTTTCACATGAGATTAGAATAATTGACTGTAGAAACCTCTATTGCCCCAAAAGATGATACTCTGATTCTCTCCGTGACTAGTTTTTAGGAGATATCTCGGAGTCGAATGAAGATAACAACATTGTGATAAGAACCTTTTTTCAAGCTCTCATAATTTTCAATAAAAAAGGATTTCTCATAAAAATCGCTGGGTTCCTTCAATTCCGAGATATCGGTTAAAAACGAAGGTCGAAAACAATGCCATTCCAATTAACCACTTCAACACGATTTTCCAGTTTTATTATTTCATAATTATTATTATTTTAATCACTTGACAATGAACTTGATTAATCCCCCGGTGAGAGTAATTGGATGAAGCAAAAAGTGAATTTACACAAATAAAACCTCAAGATGAATAGGAAATGCTGATAAAGTAAAAAATGGAAGTGAATAATTTGTCAATCCATTGGTTCGATTTGGCATTTCGATACCGTTGCATACACAAAACCGGTACGATCGTACTTGGCGGCAGGTGGTCGTCGATTTCCGATTGTTTTTCTCCTCTTTTTTTCCTTCCTCCACCTCTGCCCCATTAAACATTCTCTGTGTACAGTAGCGAGTAGATAGGAATGGGGTTGAGGGTGGAAACAGTGAGTGGGTGGATGGGGCAGGAGAAAGAGGAACATTAATTACCCCGACAGTGTAAATCACGTTATCTGGCCAACACCACTGCCAATGGATGCCAGGAGCTCAACCAGAGCGAAGAGCCCACGGTCTCAACATCGGCATACCGACCAAACGCCAACCTTAACCCGCGCCAATATCCTGTCTATCTGTACCACTATATTCTCCTCATTCAATTTATCGATGTCTACCAAACTTTGTCTCTCACGATTTTTCACTGGCATAAAGAGTATTGACTAAGTGCTACTTCATCTCATTTTCATTTTTTTACTAGATATTGCCGCGCGTATTGTGTGATATGTGGGAATTCAAAAAAGGAATATGGAATTGTTTTTGGAAAAATAAACAAAAATCTTGAAAAAACGAAATTATACGTTGAAAAAAAGAAGCGCATGGTTAAGATTAAAAAAAACATTTTCTATGGATTTCAATTTTTTAATTAAATTTAAT